TCTTTGAATATTTAGACAACTCCAGGGACAACTGCAGTCGTTCCTCGAGCGCAAGACCGTCCGCGGATTTCCATCGAGAGATCTCGATCTGAAAATCATATCCGTCGTGATTTGCAGCTTGACAGTAATGGTGATTCAGAAGAGACCTCGCCAGTTTATCAGCCAGTCGCCTCCACTCTCTTGCCTTCAATTGTGCCATCTTCCTCCTCATCGAGGAGCCGATCAACTCCAGCCACCACGCCACTGTCTCATGTAAACGCTAGAGCGAGTTGTTCCGACCACGAAGGGCAGTTTGACGCACTTCAGTGAAAACTTGTTCTTACAGAAAAAATTGACAACTTACAAGGCCAACAGTCAGCACCCGCAGTGGCAGAAAAAAAGGAAAAGTGAAAACCTTCCACGAGATATGGTGGTGAGTACAGTATTTTGGTTATTTGAACTTTGAGACGTCACGGTGTTGATAACAGCTTGTTGATAACACTTTGTTGCTGATTTCATGCACATAGCCATCATAACAATAGACGGTCATTTTGTTTTTAAAGGATGAAATTTATTGTTGAGTTATTGTAGTATGTAGTTTTAAAGGAGCTATGTCATGATATTTTAAGCCATTTTGCTGATGTACAAAAGTTACTTTCAAATTTAGTTTTCTAAGTTAGAAAAACACCAAAGAGGTAACAATAAACCAAAAAGGAACAAGGATGGTCAAGATTGGGCAAGATTGAGAATGGCAGACTTGAAAAACTTGGCCAAATTTTTAAGATGCGCTGTCTGTGATGTAAGCTGGGTTTTTTGTACATGTATGTTGGGAAAGTTCCAGAAGCTCTGGGATTTCGCTGTTTCGTGATCGTCCCAGATTTTGCCAATTTATGTTTTCATATGTTGGGAATGATTGCAGAAATCTGGCAGCCATCAGGTAAATAGAAGTGCTCCCGATTTATCCCCGACCATCTCAGATGATCAGGGATATCTATGATTTTGTGTTTTCATAAAGCCCTGGTCAAATGGTGCATGATAGTCGAACTGTCATTGGTAAGGTGAGAGAATGAGAAATGGTGTGGGAATATGAGCCATTGGCCAGCGTTTAGCAACTTTTTTGATTCTCCCGAACTTCTACTTAGCAATATATGTCTTGAGTGTTTCTATTAATTTGAGTTACAGCATACATCAATCCAAGTACTTAAAAGCTTAACCTCGTTTTGCTTTTCAGTTTTAATGATGACACCAACCTTGAGGTTACCCAAGCAATCGAAAGAGGTGTCAGAGCAACATCAGCTTTCAAAGAGGCTGATCCTGTCATATTAGAGTGTAAGTGTAGATAAACTTTCTATAATTGTGACTATGATATTTGGTGGCTTAATAGCTAGCACATTACACTGTGGATCGGACATTTGGGTTTGAGCATTGGCCTGAACCAGTGTGTTGTATTTTGTGTTCTTGGGCAAGACACTTTACTTCCATAGCGCCTTTCTAGCCTTTAACTTAACCCAGCTATTCTGGTAAGTTTATCCATTGTTGATATGATTGACTAAGAAACTGAAAATTAAGGTGTTTGCATCAATTTGTATGTACTTTGGTCACTTTTGAAGATTCCTTTGTTGAGTCCATTGATCCAATATCAAAGAAGGAAAATGAGTGCAACATTCAGACCTTTTCAGTAATATTATTATTTTTTTCAGAAGTATTTTTGTTTTATTCTGGACAATGATCAAAATCTGTGATATTTTGAATTGCTTTTGTCACAGGTGCCTTTAAGACTTACTTTAAAATCCTCAAAGCAAAAATCAGAGGAGTTGTTAACCCACTTGAGGAATGAGGAATTTCCCCAATTGGCAAACAAGCAGGATGAAAGTGTAATAAATTCTAGGAGGAGTCAAAGGGGTCACAATGTGAGTGAATAATGGTTTACTTATCCTAAACAGAAATGACTAAAAATTTTTATCACATGACCAATAATTTTTTTGTTTTGACCAGGTGTGTTGTCGCTTGCATCAGTTTCAAAACTTTAGTGTCAACAACACTATAAGGAAACTAATTAGCTATTGTGGTGATTGTTGTAAAAAAAATTGAATTTGATTAATTGAAAGTTAATTTTCTAGCCAAAAATAAAGCCTTAGATGCTTACAGTCAAACTGGATATACTTTTGATTGCAAACTTTTGCCTCACCATTGGTATTTGATTGACAGTTTGAGTCGAGCAAGTTTCAAGCTGTACAAGCAAGTTACAACTTGCTTGTACATTGATATTAACTTGCTTGACACGATATTAACATACTAGCATGTACTGTCTTACCTGACTTTATATGGCAAAATGAAAACCAGAGCTTGAGAACTTACTCCAGCAAATTCAAATTGAAAGTTTCAACCTGCTCACATAGGTTGCAGCTTGCTGGACTCAGACTGTCATCAAATACCAATGTTGAGGCAGAAGTTTGCAAGGTTGCCATCAAAAGAACATCTGGTTAACGTTTGACTATAGAAATTTATAGTCAAACTGGTTGCCTCCTGATGGGAACTCTAGAATATTGCATTGTGATG